TTTTAAGTTTATAGACCACATGTTGGATATCAATTGTCCTTGAGATGAACAGTCCTTTTTATCAAAAGGGAAATCTTTTCTTTGCAAACAGATTTCATGAGTGAGGCAAGTACAGCAAAATCAAGATGCCCTGTTTTGGGACTGACTGTTGCAGATGCGTTTTGCTATCCTAATATGCTGCTTGGCTATAGAGTATCTTTCACATGAAAAATCATTGCCATCTTTCTTCAGGCGGATAGGCAAAAAGAACGAGGCCATCCTCTTCCAAAGGAAGCGCAAGCCCTTATCCATGCTACCTTAGACAGCAGTTCTCGAAGGCAAAGCCTAAAAGTACAAAGCATCTAGGCTGCACCATAACTTCCTGTCTTCCTTCCTGCCAAATGGAGCTCAGTATTTCTTTTTGTAGATAGATAAACTGATACCTCAGCAATAAGCGAGTAATAAAAAAAGAAACAAACAGCTTTTGAAAGTTTTTCTATGTATCTGAATTTTGATTCCAAGGAGGAGATATTTTAAAATTCCAAGCAAGTGAACAGGAATAGCAAACAGGAGTTTGGCAAAGAAGTTTGGCAGAGAAGAATTTTTATGCTTTTCCTTTTTTCCTTTTTTCCCATCTTCTTCCTTCAGTCTTCACCCAGACAGGCAGCAATCAAAAGTCTGGCTAGCAGAGTCTGTAGGGAAGGCTCCAAGCAAAATGGACAGCAAGGGAAGCATCATCTGACCTACAAAGCATGTGCAGTGTTTGCCTTCCTGCCTGAGTCAGCATCTGCTGTAGCTCCTGCTGTGTTCAGAATTTTCTGTCCTCTCTTATGAGCTGAAATGTGGATACTTGCTGTTCCAGTCTTCCTCCCTTTCCCTCAACTACTTCTCTAGCCTTCCACTCAATGCAAATTTATGCCAGATAGCTATTAGGCAAGAACACAAACCTTCTATAAGCCTTGCTGGTCACAACCATAGAGTGACATCAATTCATCTTCCCCTCCCATTTCTTCTGAGACAATTACCAGCAAGTCCTTAATTGCCCACTGCCTTGATGGTGCTTTACTGCTCTACTCCCTCAGCCCAACTTATACCTTTTCAGGAGTTACAGGACTAGAGATTCAGGCTTGAGAGACACAGTACCAGCATTAAGCAACTACAGATGCCAAGAAGAACACAGGTGAGACGTCAGGTCTACTCTTATTTCCTACGCTATTTCTTGGTAAGTAGATTGAGCAGTCCACAGAAACAAACCAGACTATCCATTAATTAAGGTTTGAATGTAACTCCAAGCCACGGTGCAAACAAGCAGACTACTTGAAAACAAGCCATGATGCAATGAAATTTATTCCATGATGTCACATCATTCTTGCATTGCGATGTCACATGCAAATACTTCAGGGCCTGAGTCTGTATTGCATTGTTGCAATACATGTTTTATCACTTGTCCGCCTGCAGATGTCAAAGATGCAGGCCAATTTGCCTTATTTTTATATTACAGGTAAATAAAAATATTCTAAAATAGTTTTAGCAGTAAAAAATAAAATTCTGCACAGTGCTGCTTCATACCTTGTTCAAGTGATTCTGGACCACTATTGGAGCAGGTCTGATTTTCATCAATAGATGCAGGACATAAAGTGTAAACCAAGAATAAGCTAATCCTGAACAAGAAAAAGTAAACAGCTTCAGATCAAGCTGCAAACATGAAGACCTCCAAATCACTCCTAGAGGGAACCTCAAAATAATATTTTATAGGTAAGTAATTAATATGGCTCACAGGAGAAATAAATATTGCTAATAATGCTCTCCTGCATCCTCACAAAGAAGGAAGATGATGCTACTCAGGAGTCTAAAGCAAGGAGCTTGTCAGACAGAGAAGCTAAGCCTTCTCTAGTGTTCTAAAGCAGTGTTTCTTACTCTCATCAACTTTAAGATGTGTGGACTTCAACTCCCAGAATTCCCCAGCCAGGAGTTGAAGTCCACACATCTCAAAGTTGGTGAGGGTGAGAAACACTGCTATAGAGAGAAGAGACATGCTCTGAAGACCCAAGAGAGCTGAGGATGACAAGGGAGTGGAAGCACTGCTGCACTGGGGCAGGGCCCATGGTTCCACCTCAGAACCCCTTTGGTTGACCTAGCATGGGTAAACTGCCCCTCTGCTTTTTCTCCCTGCCACTGAATGAGTTGTTGAAAGGGGTCTTCATTTTTACAGCTGGAAAAAGATAAATTGTATTGTGAGGACAACCTTTTGGCTTAACCTTAAAGAACATGAATCTTCTATTCACTGACACACTGCATAAATTGAGTGAAAATACCAGAGCAAATCTTTGATGCTGAAATGGCCCTGAAGTAAATGGCACAGGAGGACACAGATCCTATTGATGCGAGAGCATGTGATCCCAGAGTCCCCAAAGAGAAGAAAAAGTTTGGGCACCATCTGCACCTGCTGAATGAGGGTCACGGTTGAACTCTTTTCTCTACAAAAGACAAAAAGATAATTTTTAAAAAGATAATTTAAAAGTTTTTTTCTGGGGATAATATAGCCACATCATTATTTGTATTTCTGCAAAATCATGTTCTTTTGAACTTTTGGCTTCTGATGTTGTCTATTTTCAGTGTCAGCCGTTTCACCTTCTGCTCTGCATCGACTCAACTCTTCTACTATATGTTACCCAGCAAAGAGAGTTCAAATCAAACAAAACTATTGATTTCTGGAGCTGCACATCAGAGGAAGTAAATTCTGTTTTGACAAAAATCAGTACATTATTAGAATCCTGGAGAGTTTTTCAATAAGAAAGAAATGGCATTCACAAATCTTCAGAGTTTTAAATTTAAAAAGCAGGAGTACCTTCTTGGAATCTCTAGACACTTGCAGCATGCTTCCATAGCATGCACAGAAAGATATGCTTAAATGTGAGATTATGTAGTAAAGTCTGTTTTTTAAAAAAAGCAAAGGTATTCGTATAGATTTACAGATGCTATGGTTAGATTTTCAGCCCCACTGCACATCTACCATACGAGCCCAGGATACTTCTAATTACTAACCCACTTAGCTTAACAGACCTCTGTACCTTGATGACTGGAGAACTTCAGTGAGATGCTTAAACAGAGGGACGTCCAGATTTTCAGAGGCATGGCACCATAGCTGAAAGCCAAAGGGAAACAAAGCATTTGGAACTCTTGTTCTGGAATGTTATTCACAGAATACGGTGACAGAACCCCATGGCTTTTGTAGGGGATAAAAATTTCCTTTTACATGATGATTTCCTTACATGACAATCTCTCTTCATTTTGTCTCCGTAACAGTCCTGTGAGGCAGGTTAGGCTGAAAGAGAGTAGCTGATCCAAAGAAACCCAGTAATTTCCATGGCTGAGATAAGACTTGAATCTGGGTCATTCACATCCCTTGCACTTATGCATTGGTTTTATTTCTGTTCTCTCTGCCTGATTGTAGCCTGGCAAGAGACAGACTTGGGACTAAGAGTCTTGGTGTTTTCACACTGGGAGGAGGGAGAAACAACCACTTTTCCTTGTTTCAGAATGCTAAGAATAACCTGACAATAACAACACCTATTGTTGTCCAAAACCTTCATCCTAAGAATATCTTTAAACTGGAAATCTCATGTGTAAATGATCCAGCCTCATTTCTTGACTTTTCACTTCTTCTCCATACTCTGTTTTTAATAACATCTTGGGCATAATTTGAAAGCTTAAAAATTCTTTTGTGATATTTTGGTTAAACCTCATAAAGTTATTAACAAACCATGGATGTTCTCTCAGTTCATGTTTTTATGGCCCAGTTTTTACTGGTGGGTTGTCATTATAAATTACTGAGATTTGAGAAGACCACGGATACAAAACTCTGTTATTCTCACACAGACAGTGGAGTGGAATGCTCAGTTTACTATAGACACCTCTAATTTCTAAAACCAATTTCCTGTTCAAATGCAGTATTTCATACTTTTAATGGAGACTATTCATATCATGTTAACTTTTTGTTTAAAAAAGTACTTGGAGGGAGGGTAACCATGCAGACTACAAGATGAGTGAAGGAGGACAATTCTGCTTAGCTTTTATATTCATTTTGTAATTTTAGGCCACATCAACAGAAGTATAATTTCCAATCATGGGAAGCACTAATTCTATTTTGCTTCGCACTATCAGATACCAAATCTGGTATGTCTCCAGTTCTGAGTACCACACTTTCAAACCAACTACAACAGATTCAGGGAAGGGCCAGAGGCCTAGAAACAAAAAGGAGATTGAAGAAGTAGAAACATTTTGCCTTGAGAGGAACAGACTGTGACTGTAGTGGAAAAAATAAACCTAACAAACAAAATGGAGACCGCACCCCTTCTCCCCAGCCCCCAACCCCCCATCTTTTGGATATGACAAAGGTCAAACCCAGTTCCTTTCTTTGCCTAATCCCATCAGACCCAAATTGACCCACCCTGCCCCAGACAAAGCCCCCTGTCATCCCATCTAGACCAAAGAATAGAAGCCTCCCCACCAGCTCACAGCCCAGCCCAAGGGCAACCCTTACAAGAGATCTTCAACCTAGAGAAATCCCAACCTTCCATCCTCTGATTAGCTGATGACCTCCACATTCCATCTCCTTCACAAAGAACTTCACCAGCTCTGCTGCCCTCCTGAAAGGCCCATTTTGCCTAACAATAGAACTAACCCCAAATACATGAACAAGGACCTGCCTAGCTTCCACAAAACTGGCCAGCAAATCAAATTCCCCAGGATTTTCCATCTTGTAGCCCTCAACTTCTATAAAAATTGCTGCTCTTCCATTGTTCAGGGTCACTCTTTCTTGTAAAGCAGGCACCCAACAATGTTGCAATAAACATAGTTCTTCTCCTCAATGTTGTACTCCTTACTTCAGCAAAAAAATCTATGACAGAGACTCTTTTCTCTCATTCCAGAGTACAGACTATGGAATAAGGAAAGGCAGTTTCCACATGGACATTCAGAAAAACTTTCTGACAGTAAGAGCAGTTTGGCAGGAGAACTAATGGCCCAGGGAGGCAGTGGGCTGCCCTCGTCTGTGTTTGGGTGGAAGTTGCAGATGCTTTACTTTAATTCCTGCACTGAGCAAAATGAGTTGGGCTTCTGTGGCTCTTTTGTTGTTTGGTCGTTAAGTCGTGTCCAACTCTTCATGACCCCATGAACCATATTGGGCCAAGCCTTCCTTCCTTCACTGCCTCCCTGACTTTGCTCAGTTTCATGCTCATTGCTTCGGTGATGCTATCTAACCATCTCATCCTCTGCCGTCCCCTTCTCCTTTTGCCGGCTCTAGGATTCTATTATTCTCTCCAATTCTAAGACTGGGAAGATTTCCCATCCTGCAAATATCCAATCCAATTTTTAAAAAATTAACATCTACCTGGAAATTCACAAAGTTGAGTCCAGTACAAGTTTAACACTAGAAAATGTACACCATGGCCAAGAAACAGCTCCTTCCTTATTTTAAACAGGGAAAAATCTTGTGACACTTAAAGCAGCTTCAAGTTTCTAAAAGAGCTTCTTTTTTTTTCCATTTTGTATTTTTCTGGAACTCTCACATGCCAGAGATCTTGTCACATATCAATTTCACAAAACACCAGAGCATTTACTTCTCTTCTATTGGAGCCTTTACTTCTTTGGCATTTTCTGGAAGTATCATGTCTGCTGTCAGCAAAGCAAGCTTTTTCAGTCCTTCAAGAAAAGTACAAGCAGGCTGTTGGCCTTCTTGTGACCCCCTAATGCAAGTTCATGCCCTTGCATCACCAGCATGGAATTTTCAAAGGGAAGGTCGGACATCAGCCTGAAATTGCCTGGCCTGTTTGGAATCTTGTAGGAGAGAAATACCCCTTTGTGCAGTCTCCACTCCGTTTTTAGTATTTTTGTCCCACTATAGCTATGGCCTTGAAGAACTGAGCACAGATTTATTTACACTTGAACATTCAGCGGTTCAAACAGGGGCTCTTTCAGAAACGGGAAAAAATATTCCCCCAATGCCTTTGTCTGATTTGTGATTCTGGATACGCTAGGCAACCCCACAATGAGAGATCTGGTTTATCTGGACGTGCTGCTGTCCTACAATCTCCTTTAGTGCAATGCCTCCCAGCAGCATGTGGCCCATGAGATCTTACTTCTATAGGTTAATCTCATGTGAGTAGCATGTGAGAGCCCTGGATTTAATTGCTTCTGGCCCTTTCATTTTCTGTTGCTTCTTACTAGATGAACAAGACCACTGAGAAGTCTCTCCACTTATAAATATTGGGGTGGGGGGGATCCACATAATTTAGACATTCTAAAGAGATGTGGGTCTCAGCCTAAATTGCAGGAAATATGCAACAGAGTTTTCGGTATCTCTTTCTGCTATCTAGCTGCCTGGATTTCTGCAGCCTAGTTGTGGTATACCTAACAACTCCACATGAAGGATTCCTTTTACATGGAAAACTGGCATATTGTGGTAAAATCTAGACTAGAACTCTTGTCACTGACAATATTTTGTGTAAAGGGTTTTTTTTTTATAGAGAGGAGCATTCCATTATATGACCTGAATAATTGACTCAAGTGGTACCATCCCATATAGCTTTACTCAATGGGCTTCCAGGGACTTAGACGTCTCTGTATGCCGGAAGTAGGTTTTTTATATTTTGAGAGGCTAACTACCGCAAGGCAGAGTAATTTTAATTAATGATGTCTCACAAGTGAGCAGGACCATGATATCCAGAGATTATTTTTCCCCTTTTCTCCTTCACTAGTTGTGTTCAAGCTATTCAGTAGCTTTTAATTAATTTTTTTACTGCCAAACAAGATTAGGAAATCCTCTCTCCATTTAGTGAGAGCATGTCATCAAATTTTGGAAGTAAAATTTTAGGAAGATTGTACTCTCTCTCTCTTAAGTTTTAATAACAATAGTAAAAGATAATACAAACTAAAAAAGAAAAGAAAAAAAATGAAAGAAAGAATAAAAGAACATCATGCTCTCCAGGGGCTAAAAACAGCTCATAAGCCACAGGTTATTCAAACCTTGCTACCAATAAATATATATACATTGGCATCATTACCTCAAAATTGCAGACAATATGTTGGAAGATCTCCAAGTTCTTGATAGTTAGCTCTTCTAAGCTGGCTTCTGCAGTGCCACCGATAGAAAGAACAAGTTGCAGAATTCTACTGCTTAATAGATGGGCCTTTTTTTTCAACAGATATGCCAGAATCTGAAGAATATGTCCCAAAAGCACAAGAAACAGAGGCTGATCCCACAGTATTTTATTTCCATTACTGAATAAGCCATCAATTCCTAACTATTAAAATCCATGTTATTGCATAATATGGATATTTAATAAATTTTATGGAAAACCCACAGCATTATGAAGACTCAAGGCAGTCAAAATATGTGGAAGATAATGAAATAATTTACTGAATTTGGCATTTTTTCACCAATACATGAACTGAAACTTAATTATATATACATGAACTGAAACTTAGTATGTTTGGGTATGTATAGTGTGTGTGTGTGTGTGTGTGTGTGTGTGTGTGTGTGTGTGCAAACATGATATACAAAAACATGTCATATTGGGGAAATTATCTGCAAAAACCCTGAACATTCAGTAAACTTGCAAAAAATGCCTACTCTATGTCTGAAAACAATGTGCACTGGAGTACATAACAAATTATTGTGCTATTTTTTTAAAAAACTAGTATTATAATCTTGATGAATATGCAAATATGAGCAATGGAGAGAAAAAAATTAACAGATTCACCCATGCTCTTCTGATTTCAAACAATGTGAAAAACCCCGGGATATCCATGATGTTGAACCCTGGCTATTCTATTCTACAACCCAATCTGTTTGCCCATTGGATATGCACATCAACAAAGCACAAGACAGTTTATCCTATGCATCATCCATTCATTCACTGTCGATGGAGAGAAGTAACCAACCCTATATTAAGTGCAAGACATTTTTATTTTATTAGTTTAAAAACAGGATTATAAAAAATGGTGTCACATAAAGGCATTATGAGCTTCATTGATAAGATACAGGTAGTCCTCTACTTATGACCATTCATTCAGCGACCATTCAAAGTTACAACAGCACCGAATGAAGGGACTTATGACCGGTGCCCAAAGTTACGGACGTTGTAGCACCCCCATAGTCATGTGACCAAAATTCAGGTACTTGGTAGCCTGCCCGCACTTACAACCACAGGGATGCTTCAACTCCCCCCACCCACCTATCTCCCCCCATCTATGCCCTTTTGGCCCCTGTACTCCGCAGCCCTGCTGCCCTAACTGACCTTTGCTGTCTTCTCGCTCCCACTGCTGACCAAGCATGGCCAGCCTGGCCCTTCACAAGGTAGCTGCTGGCAGCTTTCTCATGAGACCTGGGGAAGATAGACTAACGTGGCCAGCAGCTGCCTCGCAAAGGGCCAGAGTGGGCACACCTTGTCAGTAGGAGGAGCAAGAAGATGGTGAAGGTCAGTTGGGGTGGCAGAGAGCAGGGTGGTAGTAGGCTCAGAGTGCAGGGTGGTGAGACAACTGTGGCTGGGACTGGGCTGAGGCAGCTGAGGCTTCCCAGAGCGTGGTGGCTTTGCATCGTACTGTTGGGGCTTCCCGGGGTGCGGCAGCTTTGCACCATGCTGCTGGGCCAGGCTGGGATGGGCTGGGTTTCACGTGGCACAAAGGAGCCTCCTGGCACACCGCAGCTCTGGGGCTTTTTGCTAGGGCTGGGCTTTGAACAGCACAAAGGGGCTTCCTGGTGCACCGCAGCTTTAAAGCTACAAAAAGCTTGCGGTCTCAGAGCCGCAAGGCACCAAGAAGCCCCTGAGCCGCAGCATATTCTTTCCCCAGCCTTTCTGAGCTCACACCGCACCAAAGCACCCCCCTCCCCAACTCATGTGCAGCCTGCACCAGCCCTTCCAGGCCTCCCCCACCCTCCTGTGGCACCCCCACGTTCCTGACCTGGGACTCTCACCTCTTCCCTCTTAAAGACCTGCATATCTTGGGGTTACAACTGGGACTGCCCAGATTGCTGTCATTAAGCAATGTGGTCATGTGACATTGCACTACAACCGCATCGCTTAGTGATGGAAATTCCAGTCCCAATTATGGTCATAAGTCGAGGACTAACTGTATTTGCTATTTTTAAAATGTTCTAAAGATGGTAAGTAACCATTTAGATTAGAAATAGTTTTAATTATAGTTAGTACCTTCCATCTTTAGAATATTTTATAAAGAGCAAATATATTTTCATATCCGAGCATAATAAGCAGGCACTGCTTTGCCATAGATTTTGGGCTGCTGAAGAGTATCAAGTCCCCATAGCAAATATGAACAATAATGGTTAGGACCTGCTTAGTACCGCTAGCTATTATGAAATATTCTGAATGCAGGAAGTTTAACTACTGAATGAGGTTCACAATTTTTTCTCTCATTTGGTATTTCTGTACCTACCAATTTAAACAGGTAGGGCCAATTAAATTAACGAATGGGTTTTTAGAACATTTCCTATAAAAATACAATTTAAAATTCTTCAAAGAAAAATTGGAGCATATGAATTTTATTCCCAATAGAGTGCAAGGAAAGAAACTTCACTTGAATTATTTCACCCCAGTGCCAAGGAAAACTTGTTGACTTTAACCTCTTTCAGAATTCTCTAAGTATTTCCATTTTTCAAAAATCAATAGGACATCTCAGTTTGTCCACTTTAAATCCCTTTCTTCTTAAGTAAAGCTTCAACCACCAAACAAACGCTTGGGAAACATGATACTGCCACCCGTTCTTGGAAATGAGACTAATTGGCTTCTTCATTTCCCAGCCTGACTCACTAATCTACTGGAGGAAGTAAAAGAAAGTGTTGTGGGCTTATTGCTTACAATAAAGCAAACAAGGAAATTCTTGTCACCAAGATTGCAATTGGAAGGGGGAGGTTTTCTTATTAGAATGACCCAAGATTCCAAGTTCCTAAACTTTTTGAAGTGACTGGAGAAAATGTCTTATCTCCTCCTCCAATGACTGAGTAAAAGGATTATGAAAATTCATATTAATTTTGAATATGAAAACAATGAAAGAATATGACAATCAACTTTTTTGTAATGAATTTCAGTGTAAGCAACAAAGCAGATTGCCAACAAATATTTTTTGTGATATAGTGTTCAAGTAGTGCATTTCTGAAACACAAGCGTTTTCTGCCTAAGAATCAGCATTTTGGAAAAACTATTAAAGCTGGATTCTACAGCTGCAGAGAAAGATGGATCATCTCACCTGATACCCATCACCCTCTCTCATTAGATTTTCACTCACTGCACTGCTGTTCAGGACAGTGTGCAAGACCTTGACAGCAGCATAAATGGTGTGGTCATCCTCAGCCACGGCCAGGAGAGCCAGGAGAAGAGAAGGGCCTCCAAGGTAGTTCAGACTGACCACTGCGGGACACGACTGGAAGACTCGAGTTCCTAGATAGAGAGAGAGAAAATGCTGACAGCCACTGAATCTATTGTTATCACTGAAGAGCTGCACAGGATAAAATGAGCAGGCAAAAACTTTCTAGAGATGTGCAGGAATCACAAAAAATAATAACAACAGTAATAATTTGGAAAATCAAATATTTTCCCATGTCACGTGCAGATTTACATAAGTCTAGTAAACTGGCTACGGCAATAATGCAAACCAAAGCTCAACGCTTACTACTAGAAAGATCACTTATTAAAGGAACATGCTATTTTTGTCCTGCATTTAACAGGAAAACACACTCTTTCTGCTTTTAAGTACAATTATTTCTACTTCATAGACTTTTTTTTGTTTGTAAAATCCTAATGAGTCTGACTATTAAAGTCTGATCACCAGCAAATAAATGTGGTGAAAATGCTCTCCCAAAGACAATAATCCAAGTCACACCTCTTTTTGTGGTAGGGGTGACCCTGCCCACAAGATCCAGCGCAGACAGAAAACAGCCCAGCAGATCACAAAATTGTTCAGGTTGGCTATATCAAGTAAATTACTTTCTGCTCTTTCAAATATTGCTGTCACCACACAGAAGCTTTTTCTTCTTTTTTCTGAATGTCTCCCCCGAGGCAAGGACAACTCTTAAGTTCCCTGACCCGCACAGCAATCTAGTGGGTCCCCACCACAGAACGGGCATACTTGCAGGAATGCTAAGACCTGTTCTCAGTCATTTTGGAGGCCAGTTGGTGGAATAAGAGATACAGGAAGGAAGATTCTGATTGATCATGAGAAAAAACTTCCAGCAGTGGGGTGGATTTTATGGGCTCTGTGGCCTCCTGGAGAATTTCCAGCCCCTTAACCCCTTCCTGGGAAAAAAAAAATCAGCCGCCATGATTTGCTCCAGTTACTCCAAGGGACCTTTGGGATGGCTGTAGGGGATCACAAAAATGATACTGTACACAGGCAGCTGGCCACAAGTTTACACTGAGGATTTAAATCAGTGTTTTTCAACCTTGGCCACTTTAAGTTGTGTGGACTTCAACACCCAGAATTCCAGCCAGCATGCAAAAGAATAGGACAGAGAACAGGCATAAATAATCAGGAGACAATGACATCTTATCACAAATGACAACTTCGGTCAGGTAGAAAGAAGCATTTCAAATCTTTCAAAGAAACTCCACCTTATTTAGCTCACCATAAATGACTTACTCTGACAGTTTCCAAGATTCTGTATTAACTTCAGATTAACATTATAGATACCTGACTGAAGTCTCTACAATTCTTGCTCTCTTGCTTCCTTGATTTGCCCAGGTGTACGGGCCCAGATACTGGTTAAGAAGCTAGCTTTCCTTACAGGATGCAATTCTGGCTTTTTTTTATATATATATTTCTGCTCTTTCATTTTACAAAGGCAGTTCAGTATGCATTTAAGCTTACCATATTGGCCCACAACAACTGCACCGATTGTTCTTAAGGAGCCAGGAAGTTTTCCAGCAGTATTATGAGCCATGAAAACAGGTGTTGTACTATCACGAGATGACAGCTTCAACTAAAAAATAATGCATACTGTATCAGAAGGCAAAGGTAAACAGGAAATATGTTTTTGGTTTGTTTTTTAAAAATTTCAAGTATTATGCTGTGTGATATATATGATTATAATTTATCCATCTTAATTTTATAAGAAATAGTTTGGATGTTCTAGACTATTTACCAAGAATTCCAAATTAAATCCTGAGATACATGGAAACTGACTTTTGAAGAAGCACGGTGTAATTGAAACCTCAGTAAAGTTACATTTCCTGTGATACCCAGCTCTCTTCATGTCCAGATAATATTAGGAAATTCTAATGCTGTGGTGAGGCCTGGAGAGTTGATCACACAAAATAGAGAAAGTCCAGTTCAAAGAGGGCAATGAAAATGGAGGCTATTATGTTTCAGCTGTATTTGTCAAGTGTTCTGAGGCTCAGAGGAGAATGCACCTCACTTCAAAGCTGGGGTGGGATACAGCTGGACAGGTTGATTGTTCTAATTGAAGTCCCCAACCTGTGATACAAAGGGAAGAATCACAGACCTCTAGACATAGGCACAGAAAACGTCAGTTTTATGACCCTTGAGCACCAACATCTCCAGCTGAAAAGAATCCACTGGGACATTTCTGAAAGGCCTTGGAGAGGCCTGTTCCTCAGGCCAATTATTAGCCTTGTACTAATAAAGCACTGTTTACTCTAAGTATGTTATCCTACCTTCTCTCTAGTGCATTGATGCCACACTCTTTCCCAAGTGGTTTAAAAAAAAAAAAAACTCTTATCTACCTCTTAATCTCAGCAGGTGGCAAGATCTGGCTGACCTTGTATGAACTGGAATCAAATAAGTTTAGGCCTAGTTAGGGCCTGAATAAGAAGCCACTAGGAATGTAGCCTAAACTCGGAAGTTGAAAAACATGGTAAGAGAATCTGATAGCAAATAACTTGTGTATTGTTGCCAGGAAAATAATATAGACAATCAGTTGCTTAGAGCCACATGATTGAAGTGACATAGAAGCATGTGTAATAATAAACTCTGAGTCTTTACCTTTTCCTTACTTGTCATATGCCTCCTTGGATAGGAAGCTGAAACTGCAAAACTGTTAGAAAAGAGGTGGTTTAAATTTTAGAATATAGTGGGAGCACAGAAACAAGTTTGACTCCAAATTCCTGGCTTGTAGTCTCTCAACATTCTGAATTATTCTTGAGGGTGTTGCTTGGATAAAGCTAGTCTCTCAAACTGGGTCAAGGTAGCCTGGCCAAACATCCACATCTAATTAACATCAACTTCTTCACCCTGAAGAATGGTACATCTCTAATTTTTCTGTGCATCAAAAGATGCAAAGTCCCTACCTCTTTGGCTATTAGGCGCCCATCCACTTCACCATAGCAGTCTTTTATGTCTTTAACTGTTGTATAACATGAACTTCTGACATTAATTCCAAATGAAATCTTCTCTTGTAGCACCAAAGGTTCCATCTGCATACTGCTATAAGAGCCTGCTCCTGAAGGAAGAACAACACAAAGAGATAATACAAGAGATCAAAGGAAACCAGAAATTCTCTGCTAGAGCAATCCCCAGTTCCAAATATCAACATAGCCCTTGATTTTCTTGACCTTCCGCACAACAACTCAGGCAGTGTTATGATCCAAGATTGTATTTTGTCATATACTGTATAATGGTGCCCACATTTATTTGGACTGATTTCAACTGGCACAAGTTAATGGTTGCAAACCCTTAATAACTGGAATTGTAGCTGGCAAGTCAATGGCTGACCTATTTCTCAGACTTAATTAGACTTTGGGTGTCCTTAATTTTTATTGCTTCTTTTATTCTTCTACAATGGTTTATTTCTGTCTCACATTCTCTTGATAAATGGTATTTTACCAGTATTTGTATTTCACAAAAGGTCTACGTCCATACCAAGAAAAAAAAAACAGTGTGCCTATCACTGAGGCTGTATTTGCCGTTTGATATAGAATGGAGCCCCCCCCCCCCGTTTTCTGGAGGCTTCTAGACTTCCATGGTGTTCAGTTCTGCACTGTTGGTTTTGATAGTTACCTGTCCTTCTGAACATTATGCCAAAATAAGAGGCTTCCATAGCTGGATCTGATTTCTCTACCTCTTCATGACTGAATCCAACACAGATTGAAAGACAAATTTACTAAAGGAACTAACAAGATCTAGTGAGTTCTCAATCAAATGAGAGCTCTTTTACTCCTGACTGAAGTCCCCGTAGTTACAATATGTACCTCTAAGCTCCACAGCCTGGAAATTGCTGTAATATCTTGGACCAAGTTTTTCAATAAACTGCAGAGTTTTAATGGAGAGAACTTCTTCAAATAAGTACATAGGGCCTTGGCGCCAAGTCAAGAAAGACTTCTTTTTCCACATCGGTGGTGTAGCCACATAGCCAAAGACGTCAATAAAAGAAGAGGGGTTCATGGAAACGAAGCTCCCTGGGAGAGGTCGGATGTAGTGCATCTGTGGTAGAAGAAAAAGGAACTGCTGACTGTTATGGCTGTCTCTCTCTGAAAAATGGACCTAGACATAGAAAACTAGCATACTGAAATGCACACATGCACCTTTTCCTCAAGCATCTAGTTTTGTACATTTGGGAGGGTTTTTTTACTGGAATATCTCAACCTAGAAGCTCACACTTTGCCAGGTTGAATCATGAGCAGTAGTCTAAGGTAAAACAGGAGCAAGAAATGAGCAAAAATTGTGGAAGCCAGATGTCAGGACCAAACAGAAACTATGAGACACAATCCAGGCCAGGTATAAGCAAAGACTATCAGGACGACCTTGTTACTCAAGTAAAACTTAACTGGAACAAGAAGTCTTTTAATAGTCCTTTGTGTCCAGACAGATTGTCAGTTGTCAGGGCCTCAGTACTGGAGAATTTCTTAGAGGAGGAAGAGAGATCAGGCAATTTTGCCTAACTCTCTGCACCAGATGATCCTGGCCACAGTATAAGACTGAAGCCAGAATCAGTCCCCAGGACCTTCGACCCAGGACAAGCCTATGCCTCTCAGTTAAATATTAAGTGATTTAAGGTTAGTGTGGGTGGATGGGTTCAGATCTGTCTATGATTTTGTTAGACACGATTAACAACTAGAGCATTCTCTAAGAAATAGTATCCAACCCCCACACACAATAATGTGCATACTCCTTTTTCATTTTAAAAGATCTACAGAAGAGGATATTGATAAGCAAATTTATGTTTAACTTTCAAGAAGTTGATGGAATGTACACACATACAGTTTATAATACAAATATGTATTTTGCAGGAATTCTTTAATAAATTGCAGTGTGGAAGCTTTATTTTATGGATGATGAACTCGGATGGAGATACTATATATTTATTTGTCTATTTATTTATTGAATATATCCCTTCTTTGAATGAATCTTTTAACTATTCATTCCTTGATACATAAATATCATTAAGAAGCTTAAGGAAAATGTTCCTTAAAACTATGAAAAACATGACATTAACATGAAGTGGGAAGATCCAAACTTTTCATAGTGGCTATTGGGAGGCCTATAAGCAAGATTAGAGACCCACTTTCCCCAGCAACTGTTATAGCAAGGTAAACTACCTCTGCTGCTAGAAGCAGCACACAATTAACTGGGTGCCATTAAGTTGGGTTCACTCCTGATGATTTTATGGACAAATGCCATCTTAACATGTCCAGCTTTATTTTTCATTAGTTCATCAGCTTCCCTGTAGGTTTCCCTATTCCCTTGCCAATGTGCTTGTTCCCTGGAACCAGTCTGCCTTATATTACCGCTACGGTCTCTGCTTACTCAGCAAAAAGCAGTAACTGAATCACTAACTCTCAGGAAACATCCCTTACAGTTAGAAACCGTTCAAGAGATTACTATTTCCACCTCTCACAGCTTAGCACACAGTCCCTCAGAACACACAGCTTCTCTGGTCACTGTTCTTTCGTCTTCCTACTCTTAGTTTTCCCTGTTTACGTACTCATTAAGACCTGAGCAACATTTAGGATTAAATTCAAAGTTGCCT